AAAAATCAAAGAAATTAAACGCGATAAAATCGGTAAAATTAGTTGTTAAAAAACTGTATTTGTGAAAATAAAAACTTTTATATCTTAAAATTTCCGACTTTTTTTAAACCAATTTCTTAACCATTTCATTCTTTTAATTGTATATTATCATATCTATATGCTTTTATATGTGCCGGCCCATGGCCGAAATGTCTATGAAGAGTGGGCATTCCTCTTTAGTGTAAAAAGTCTGCTTCTATGTAAAAGGTAAAGAAATTCATTGAAATACCACGAGTCATTGATCGATCGGGAAACCAGTGCGTAACAGACACGAGTTTGGAATGGCTTGTAGGTTTTTTTATGCGTGTTATTTTTATGTGTATTATTATGGATACGACTTTTCACAATTTTGGTCTTTTTACATTTTTACGCTAAAAGAAGGGTTATGTTTTTCGAGTGTGTTTGTATATGAAGGGTGTCAGAGATATTTCTAAAAAGTATACACTTAATTATAAAGAGAGTAAATAAATGACCAATATTTAAAATTTTGGGATAGCAATGATTTTAGAATACAGGAAAAATTTATTTAAAAAAAATTAGTTTTAAAAAAAAATAAACACGTGTATGTTTTTTAAGCAAAATACACGTGTTTTAATGTGTTTTTTTTTTTGTGTTAACACCATAATTATAAAATCTAGTGGAAATGCTGGCGGTAGCAGAGTGCGCGAAGTTGGTGGGGTGGTGGCACGAGGTAGAGTGGTGGCCCGCGGGGCGCGCGGTGTGACTGCCCGCGGGGCGCGCGGTGTGACTGCCCGCGGAGCGCGCGATGGTGTAGCAGCCCGTGGTGTGGCGGGAGGGACGCGAGGCCGTTTACCTGCTACGCGTGGTGGGCGGCAAAATGCTGACTCGTAAGAACCACTTGTTTTTACTAACAAAAAAACCTAACATTTAGTTATTTTTCAAACCAATTGTGATATATTTCTTTCCAGGTTATCCAGCGTTTGTATCAAAGATTTAGAGGTTAGGGAAAGGATGGAACGCCCCCCTAAGAATATAAAAAGCCAGCGTTTTGCCCCCACGTCGGCAGCCACCTAGGTTAATATACTGTAATACCTAAAAGTATTATGTTAAAGGAACCTTATGATAAGTTAAAATTTAAAAAAAAATCCAGTGCTGAGGCTATGGACCTACGGTCAACGCTGGACACCATAGTCTGTCAACAGCCACCAGCGTCACCTGTTCCAGTGCCTTCCCCTGATCCTGACACGTAAGCATGATTTATTAAAACCCGCGACCAGCTCAGGGAAAATTTTTATTTTCATTATTGTCTCACATATTATTGTTATATTTTAGAACAGTGCCTTCAGGCCACCCACTCTTGGACTCACCCGCACAGCAGGAGTCAGCCCCACCTTCCCCTGCTCTGTGAGTATAATAATACTATTTTTACAGCTGAATTGTCAGTAACATTTAATTTTACAATTAGTTATTTGTCCTAAAACGCAATGTATAAAGGATTTTTTAAAATTTGTTTAAGTTTGTTGAATGTGGCGAAAGCACCGCCTCATCCCATATGGCGGGCCCATCAGGAATGGGAACGCCACAAGCTGGGCCATTAATTTTGGGCATTATAGATGGCATTGATGGGCCATCATCAAAGAGCCAGCGCCGGCTGTAAGTACTCATTTACCTCATTTATGTATATGTGACAGATGTATGTAAGACTATTTATTGAAAACTAACGAAACTTAAATTATTTTTAGGATACCAAACGCAGCAGCAGCATCGGCAGCCTATGAAAAGCGATTTTGATTTTGACGAAGCACGATTGCGGATTTCCTCTGCAATAGTACGTATAAATATATTTTTCTAATATCCTTCGTGTCTTAAACACAATTACGTGAATTAACGTTTCTTATCTCGTTCTCAAGAAGAGTTCCCTTGAAGAATCGATAAACTAACACTAGTTTGTAGTTTAGTTTTAAAAGCTATTATTGTTTTATACAGGCAGCGAAGATGAGGACGACGAAGACCCGGAATATGGGGAGGTTGGTCTCCCGCCCGTATTCCTTTCACGGTCGGAGACAATGTTTCTTGGAGAGGAAGCAGATGAAGTCCCACCCACAGGTATGTAATGCAGAAATATTGTATATCGTAACTACATATCTGAAAAACACAGCATTATACGTATAACGCTATACATTCAAAGTTATATATTAATATATTCCTGCCCGCCACCCACAGATGCCACTTTGAATTTGGAGTGGCCACCTCGTCCCCTCTCACCGCAGCAGCAAGAGGTATCTTCCCCTGCCGCGATTCTCTCCGACCGACAAACACCGAGCGAGGAGGGTGAAGTTGGGCCTCGCTCGAAATTTTAATTTAATGGAGAGCGTTTCCGCAGTCTCAAACTCCACCTGAGCTGAGACGAGAAATATTTTCATAAAAAAATGTTGGACCTACGGTTCCATTGGCGACCCCGTATGATGCATTTACTGCCATATGGGATCAACAAATAATGGAACACATTGCAGCGGAAACGAACAGGTTTTCGCAGCAAAAGACAACGGTCATGTTGTTCGAAGGCACGTTGCGACCTACAAGTCGCATCACGCGCTGGAAGGACACATGCGTCGAAGAATTATATGTCTTCCTGGCTATAGTCCTAGCTATTGGGATTGTAGTCAAGTCACGACTGGAGGAGTACTGGAATGTGTCCAATGACATTTTCAGTACTCCTGGATTCTCCGACGTAATGTCATATGACCGTTTTCTGTTGCTGTGCAAATGTCTGCACTTTCAAAATAATGCGAATTGGGACCCACAAACAATGAAACGGTCAGAGGTGAGGATTTTTAAGGTGCGTCCAATTTTGGACCATCTTAATACCAAATTTTCACAGCTGTACAATATGTCGCAGAACATCGCGTTGGATGAAAGTTTAACCATGTAGAAGGGCTAGCTAGAAATTAGCCAGTTCATCCGCAACAAAGCTGCTACAGTCTGAATCAAAACGTACGAGGTTTGTGAGTCCAAAACGGGATACTTGTGGCGCTTTGAAGTCCACGCAGGACACGACGAATCCTCCAGCACGCAAGAAGATCCTGTTTCTGTATTAGTGCCAGCTCTTGTTCTGAGGCTTTTTGATGGTCTTGAGAACAAGGGCCACACGGTATGTATGAACAACTTTTATAATTCTCCTGCTCTTGCACGAGAATTAAAGGTTCGGGGCTTCGACTGCGTGGGGACTCTTCGAACAAACCGCGAATTTGTTCCCGTCGAGTTGGCGAGTTTAACAAACAGAACATGGCTGTGGGTGAATTGACCGGCTGCACCTCAGGGGATGTGGATCTCGTGGTATGGCAAGACAAGAACCGCGTGTCTCTTATATCGACATACCATGGGCTAGCAACCGTGAGATGTGACGGCCCTTTAAAGCTCTCCATAGTGTCAGACTATAATGTCTGTATGGGGGGTGTCGACCGCAAGGACCAGATGCTGGCCATGTACCCGAATGAAAGAAGGCGGAACAGAATCTAGCACAAGAAGTTTTTCGGAATGCTTTTGAATGCAAGTGTTTTAAATGCTTACATTTTGATAAGGTCGAGCTCTCCCCCTTGACCATCGCGAATTTCGCAAGACGTTTGTGAGGCAACTAATTACTAAACATACACCCGCTAAAGTAGCTCCAATATCTACTACTACTGACCACTTTCCTGGTCAGTACGACTTTATGTCGGGCAAGAAACATGAAAGAATGAGATGTTGTGCTGTTTGCCATAAGAGGACTCATACTTATTGCACAGGGTGCAACATCACTTTGCCTTTTTTCATGTTTCGGTCCCCATAGCGCATAAATGCTGCACAGTAACACTCTGCAGTGACACTAGCTACTGACATTGGCATTTGAGCATTAGCATTTGAAATTCATCAGAAAAGCTTTTTGCTTTTAAATAGCGGCATACCTACTTACTTACTTTTGTAAATAAATAAGTATGCCGCTATTTTAGTCGGGGAGGTGTTCATCCATACTGTAACGGGAAATATGTGACATGTATAGCAGCATTTCTTTTTCGTATGAATGGAAGTCTTTTTCTTTTTCTTTTGTATGAATGGAAGTTTTTTTTCTTTTTTTGTATGAATGGAAGTTTTTTTGATGAATACCGTCAGTGCTAACAGCTCAGCGCGTAGCAAGTTCGTAGAAAAATGGTGCTGACTGCTGATCCTCAGCGCTAACAGTTTCGCTTTATACTTAAACGTTTCTTGGTTAACGTGACGTTTGATGCATTCTAAGAATACACTTACAATTTACAAATGTTAGTAATATCTTAATTACTTAGCGTGTTGTTTATTGTTGAATTTACTTTGAGAATAATTGTTTATTTACATAAGTATGCCGGTAGATTACATTATTTACGTGTGACAGTTACTTTTATTTGATTCATTCGTTGTTTGGACTTGATGGGTTTCGTTGGTGTTTGAAATGGCTCACAATTTGACTGATTCTGCGATTTCGGAAATCTTAAACTACGATATAAATTCCGAAGATGAAATAATTAGTGAAACGGAGAATAGTTTGAATGAAAATCCTACCGACAATATTCAACCCATTTTATACAGTGAAAGCAGTATTGACGAAACAAATAGCGATGAGGAGCCTCTTTCAAAATACGTTACCAATAGCAGTGCTAATGAAAACGAAATGCTATCAAAAATGGTGAATTTGTATGGTCAAGAACCCCATTAGAAGTCAGAGGTCGTTAGAGTAGTGCAAACCTAATAAAACTTACACCAGGCATTACCAGGTATGCTTCTAATCGCATAAATACATTTAGAAGTTCTTTTGATTTATTTCTAAATAAGCGTATAAAATCTATAATTTTGAAACAAACAAATATAGAAGGTTCTTCACGTTTCGGAAATGGATGGGAAGCGTTAGATGAAACGGAGTTAGATGCATATCTAGGGATTCTTATTTTTTCTGGAGTTTTCAAGTCTAACGATGAAAGTTTAGAAAGCTTATGGAAGACCTACATTTCGGGCAAGAATGTCCCTGAAACGTTTCAAACAAATTTCTGCGATTTTGCGTTTTGATAAACGTTCTGACCGAGAAGCAAGACAACAGAGTGACAAATTAGCAGCTGTGAGAGATATGTGGGATGAATGGGTGAAGCTGTTGCCTATGTTTTATAATCCAAATATAAATATCACAATTGACGAACAGTTACTTTCATTTAGAGGTCGATGTCCTTTCCGACAATATATGCCAAGCAAACCAAGTAAGACAGTGAAACAGGATACGTTCAATTCAGTGTTATACTGGAAAACTCCAAGGAAGTGCTCTGGAAAAAAATCAAGGAATGCGTGTAGTTTTGGATCTGACAGAAAGTTTACAGGGCCACAACCTTACATGTGATAATTTTTTTACATCTTATGAATTAGCTGAAAAACTTTTAATCGTAAACTTACCATTCTTGGAACCTTACGGAAAAATAAGCGACAGATACCCGTAGATCTTTTAGACACGAAGAAACCTGTGTTTTCATCTACTTTTGCATTCAATTCAAAAATGGTTCTTGACTTTACTTTAGTTGACATACATTCCGGAAAAAAAACAAAAATGTAATTTTGTTGAGCACAAATCTCAAGAAAATAATAATACATGAATCAGAGCAGAAGAAACCAAAAATGATCATGGACTATAATGCAACAAAGGGTGCTGTTGATTTTCTAGACAAAATGATTTCGTCCTATAGTTGTAAACGAATGACTAGAAGGTGGCCAATAGCCATATTTCATAATGTGATTGATATTTCATGTTTCCATGCTTATGTATTATACTGTGACACCCACCCAGACTGGAAACAGAAGAGAACAGTACAAAGACGGTTGTTTCTAGAGAAATTAGCCATGGAATTGGTAAATGTTCACATCGAGCGTAGAAAAATTCTTCCTCGGACAAATGCGTCACTGGAATTAGTACTACGAGTGCAGTCGGGTGTTACGGAGACAACGAATACCTCAACTACTCAGAGCTCTAATAAAAGAAAAAGGTGTTGTGTATGTCCATCTTCAAAAGATGTAAAAACTTCAAAAATCTGTAAAAAAATTAAGAAACATATATGTCCGAAACATTCTGAAATTTTATGCCTTTTGTGTTGCCAAATGAGTAAAATACAAATATAGTCGTTTATTGTATCCTTATTTTTATTAAATAAGTGTGTTTTAGAAATAATTAGATTTTGTATTTAATTTAAAACAATTGCTTCATATTATTGAAATCGGGTCAACATGACCCGAAGGCCTCTCGTGTAAATAGTATTTAAAGAACCGAGGAAGGTTAAGTGCCTTTTTTGTTGGAATTTATTCATTATATTTACAACTTATTTTGTAACAGTGTTTTGACCTTGTAGCCGAGAACTTTAAGTTACTAGAACAATAAATGTAATGTTGTTATTATAAAGCATAACACAATAGAGCTCTGAAATATGAGACTCATTTTTATGACTCACAGAGCGATAGTACTTTGTACCTAAGTTTGAAAACATGTGTTATGTAAAAATATTGTATGACACTTGTAAATGTTATGCTTTTAATTAGTTTATTATATTATAAGCTGTAAATAAAAATAAAGAACAAATATCTTTTTCGTTTTATTTCGTAAAGAAAAATATAAACTTTTAGACGTTGCCATATTTAGATTGAAGACTGCAGCTGCAGTTTAGTCTTATGATGAAGAAAATTTAAAGAAAACAACAGAATAGATAATAGAGAGTAATATTTAACTCAGAATTATGAATAACTTCAATTAAAATAGAAGATATTTGAATCTAAAGAAAAAAGGCCAAAACCAAGCCTGCGTCTGTCGAACGACTGGGAAACCATCGACAGTATCGGCCATATTGCGAAATTTTTGTTTAACAGATGAGCGGTTATGCGACATTGCTTCAAAATGCTAAGTTTTTGAGTACCTAAATATAGTAATAAACAATACCATATAGAATATTCAATATCTGAAATATCATCTTTAACCAGCGGAACAGATCAATCATACAGATTCGACATTAAAAAATTAAAAAAAGAAAAATAAACGAAGGTCGAGATTTACTAACTACACAAGAAAAGGTCAATTAAA